AGGACCGCTGGTCGATCAGAGAATGCGACCGTACCCAGGTTATTTAACAAAGTTAGCAGCCTCTAATTACCACCTCCTTTGGTCCCTATCGCATCCTTTAAAAAGCAAAAATTCCGAAAATCGACCTCAACTCGAGAATGAGGTCCACCTCTTCTTTTTATCATAGTTGCCGTAGTTCTATGAGAATGGAAATGAGAAGCTGTGCAAAAGAAGGGCACTAGTCCTAGTCATCAACTGCTACCTTGTAGATTGGAGATGTCTTTTAGTGACGGAAAATTTAGTCCGAAAAATTTGGTCAAAGTGTCGCATTACTTTTCGAACAACCTAATATGGAAGTGTCTGCGTAGAAAACAGCAGAAAAAAGAGTCAGGAACCTCCTCCCCCCCCCAAAGGTTTAGGTACGACCACCTTTCCCTCGCTTCACTAGCATGACCTGTTAGTCTTGGGATGGAGCAAGGAGCCTATTCCAGGACCGAAGAAACAGCCAGCAGAGCAGATCGAAGAGATAGCCAGCTGCGCCGACCGAGGACCGCTGCGTCGTTTCCCTCTCTTCCTACGGGTGATGCCCTCATAACCAAGAGCGGCTACTTCTCATTCATTCCCTGGGTATCCGTTTTTATCCCTGTGTCTCTTTCATGTCTCGAAGACAATTGTTTGTGACTCTTTGATCTTATGACTGAAGAACGGTTTTAGCAGATTCCCTGTGGCCGTACCGGGCCTCAGCCATTGAGAAGGAGAATGTCATGCGGTGGAATTGGAACCCTATCTGCCCTCTAACACCATTCCTGCGTCTTTCGCATGGCAAGTGATTCGTTTTAGTCAGTCATGAACTGAGCGAAACCATGTCGAAGGAGCGACTCCAGGTCATCTTCCTGGTCACTTTCCAGGTCATCCTGCACAGGCCACCGAACAATCGGATGTTAATGAATATTAATTATAAGAAGCATATTTCTTTGACACGTAGGCTAAAATCTGACCCTAATGACAGCATAATTTCGTGCGGAGACTAGGTATTCCTCGATACCGATCAGGAACTCATCACTAACCGCTTGTGAGTTAGGTCCGGCATAGCTGAACATAGAAGTTTCAAACAGTTTTCAAGGAAAAATCAAAGAAAGAAAGTGTGAAGCTTCATGATACCGTACACCTTCAGTAGAACTGGTAACGTGTAGCCCATAGATCTGTGCCGTTGATCAGGTGGTAGACTAATTTGAACACGAGCTTCTGAAAAAAATTAAATAAGGACTCCACCCAACTTTCAAGTTATTTGTGTTCCTGTTGAAATCAGTGCCCGAATTTGTGGGTCTTCTTCCACGAACTGACTCTGAGATCCTCAGGTCGTTTCATGAGCTTACGTGCATTTTAGCGCAATCGGTTTTTCAGACAGGGAAAGGACCGAAACACTTCTCCATTACGCGAACAAATGTTTATACTACTCACTGAAGTTGGAGCTCAAGCAGACCATCACGCAATCTGGAGCTGTACTTTTTACCGTAACGCAGTCCGATCCACGAGAATGATAGTAGGGATTAATCGGATGGTCCTTCACCCAGGGTCTTGTTGGAACCAACTGGCGTATTACTTTATTTATTTACACCGGGCGTCCACAGACTAAAGAAATTAGAATTAAAAAAAACACAGGAAATAGCAGCCTGCGCAAATGAAAGAAATGTCAAGGAAAATATAAATGACACGGAACGAGGGCGAGCGAATAGGCTGCGATTACGTTTTCTGAAAGGAATAAGAACAGGGACCTTCACTGTGACAGAACTATAAGGTCATTCTTCTCATTAGGTAGATGAAAGAGTCCACACGCGAAATCCTGGTCTTTGGTCCAGAACGCAAAGAGACGACAACAGTGCTGGAGCTTGCTGACATTTTTATAAGGTCTTTGAACCGGACTCTAAAGAAGGTGATACCGCAGAAATGTGCACAAAGCAATATGTAGAGTGACCCAACAATCTCGTAAGAGTTTATCGATGACAACGTGCAGTACTAGTATGCCGATCTTCTTTCCAAAGTCAAACATGGTAATGCTGTTACTTCGACTATTGCAATTAGAGGACACTTACAGAAATTCTGAGGAATTCTCAGCATTGACATTGCTTTCATACAGGGCCAAATGGCGTCAACCTTTTTCATTTGGCCTACCTCCCCGCAGTATTTTCCTGGGTTTTTCAAAGTCTGCAGAACTCTAGCTAATCTCTGGGGATTCATCGTCCTATTTTCGTGGTCTTGAACCCTTGCTTCGAAAAAATACTTGTGGACCTTTGAGGAAACGGTAACCATACTTACCAAAGCCTTCCTTCAAAGGAACCGTCTCAGTGAACACTGTTGGCAGTAACGTGGCGGCGAGTCTTGCTTCATATTCGTCATCATGGAATATTTCCACCACTGAAATGCTAGTGTGTCCGATACGCATTTCTGGGGAATCCTGCTGAAACCTACTGTTTTCAATCTTTCCGCCTTTCAAATCACTGAGATAGTAGTGAAGAGGTGCAGGACCCTGAAATGTAAGCTCATTTTCGAGCGTTTAGTATTTACAGGACTTTACGGTAGGCTAACTTGATTACTTGAAGACAATGTCCGCGACTAATTTACGTGCAGAAACCCTTCATTGAACAAGATGACGTTACCATCTCTGATCTCGCGGATTGGGACGGTAACGTGACTCCGCCTCCACTATCCGAATCCACATTTATTATTTGTTTTAACGTCACTATGTACTGGTGGAGTATCGGTCATCCATATATTCCCTGGCCAGTTGAATTATAAGTCTAGGTTGCCAGTCTGCGTACAGTACCCCCGAAGATTGCGCATGAGATTGTGTTGGTCGTTGATGCACACAACAAGCTGCAGGACTACGTGGCCCATCCAGATTCTTCGCGTGGAGTACTATAACCTGGCCGCGCGAGGACGTACCTGCCGGATCGGGCGGGTCGCTGCCCGAGCGGCAACCCCACCCCGTTTGCACACTCAGTCTCTCTGTTCCCTATGCTCTTATAACGCTCAGAGCCAAAAGAGAACTTATTTACTTCATTACTCCCACTTTCCACATGGCCTAACGATTTTCATCACTAACAGTTGAAAATGACAATCGCGGGGCTGCCCTCATTAGAGGTTCGCGCAGTGACTTTCAAGATCTTGGTAGCAAGTGGATGAACCAGTCCCAGTGTAATCCCTACCAAAGAACCCGCCAAATGAGAGCTTGCCAAGGAGAACTCAGTACCTAGAAGTTTTTTTTAGGAGATTAGTGGAGGAGAGGCAGTTTCTGCACAAAGTCTATGCACGACCATTTCCAAGGAAAGGCAGGTGGAGGAAGTTCAAGACAATCGTCCTGTGAGGCGCAATCTCGCGCCCGCAAGTGTATAATCGTCGAATATATCGCTTGTCTTGGACTGCTAAAACATTTCCATATTCTCACATGCCTTGGTACTGGAGAAATCCCGCGTGCCTTCTTTACATTGCTTGCTTGAAGTCATGCGGCTCGTCTTCATTCGTGCAAGCACCGGCAACATTCGCTTCGGTCTTCCGCGACCATCAGCGTTCAGAGTTCGCGACGGCAGCGCTGCGGTCGCATGCGGATGCGCATGCCCTCTACTGCATTAATCGCGCTCGATACGCGGACCGAAGCGCTGAGCCGTCCGAATTCTGAACGCTATGCTGAAGGTGCTGCGGAAACGACGAACGGGGAACCCTCGCCTCAACCGCATGCGAGGCTGCATTGCGTGATTGGCGATGGCATCTTCCCATTGTGCAGCAGAACTTCCCCTAGACCCAGGCAGGCCATCTTGTGATGATTACAACATGGATCGTATTCGACCGCGAGGGAGGGGGGGGGGGTTGTACTTGTCCGAGAAAAAAATTTTTTTGATAGTTGATTTCTCTTGTTTCACGGACGCTATAAAGGGGGGGGGGTCGTATTTGGTCGCTGATTGGGAGAGGGAGCGCCAAAGATCTATACAACAACTATTTCCGATAGTTGAAAATGAAAATGATAGTTAAATCCTGACGACCTCCTCCCCTCCCCCGCTTGACAGCAAAATTTTGTGGTAAAACCAGAAATTTTTCGGGAAAAAATGGTAGGAAGTTGGGAAAATCTAGGAAAGTGGTAGGTAGCATGGGGGGGATCGTATTTGAGGATGGAATTAGGGAGATCGTATTTTTCAGGAAATGATCACAACGCGATGGTGTGCCCTACCTAGACCGTGGAGGTCCTACAGGAGCTCATGCCACAGTTCGCTTTGCCCACCTGTCATCGCTCCTTCTCATAATACGATCTGCCCATCGGAGTCTTGGCTCCCGACGTACTACAGAGGATCGCGTGGGCGGGAATGCCGCGTAGGTCGGAGCTACGCAGTTCAGCTCGATATTGCGTGTACTGAGTGAACCTCAGGAAGCTGCGTTCAACCCCTCTGTTACAGTGAAGCGACCCCAGGGACCACCCCTCCCCAAATATCTATAAAACAAGAATCCGTTAGCTATAATAGTAATAGTTGTGCAAGCGTGAAACTGAACGGCCCCGTGAATTACATTGCCTTTCGAATTCAAAAAGGAAACAAGTCGTTCATACAGCGGAAGGGAAAGAGATAAGCATTAAAAAGTAATGTTTCAGTTGTAAATACCATAAAATGTTGTTCAAACTTACTCTGCACTGGGTGAGGAGATAGCTGAATTGAGGAGAGATATAGTTGCTCTGATAAGTGCAATTTCCATGCTTACAAGTAACACATGTCCAAACTTCATCGGTCGTCTGCAAGAACATTATATTGACAGTTTACTACTACAAACTTCAGTCAGACACATTACAAAAGGAATAAATGAGAGATTTCGTGCGCCACTATTGATACCAAATGTTTCAACCCAGAAGTCCCTAATTCTTCAGGAGGAGAAGTATCGCCATGGGTAAGCATAAATGGAGAATCGAATTTTTTGTTCTCAGTGTTCATCCTCACACAAGACTTTTCATTCCTGACAACTGAAACGACCGAAAATGTTAAGTGCAACTCAGGGCATGCTATCGCGTTGTGATAATTTCCTGAAAAATACGACCCCCCCTAATTCCATCCTCAAATACGACCTTCCCATCTCTTACCTACCACATTCCTATATTTTCCCAACTTCCTTTTCCTACCAGTTTTTCAGCCGAGAATTTTCCGTCGAACGGGGGGGGGGGTCGTTAGGATTTAACAGTCATTTTCAACTATCGAAAATGGTAGTTGTATACATCTTTGACAGTCCTTATCCCAACAACGACCAAATACGACTCCCCCTCACTCCCCCCTCCCTCGCGGTCAAATACGACCCCCCCCCGCTGTGATCATCACAACGATGGCGTGGCGCGCTGGGGCACCTGCATACATCTTCATCATGCGACCCAGGCACTCGATTCGAAATTTTAAACTGCTACTCTTCCCCCCCCCCCTGTTGCTAGCATCTGGGCTGTTTTGTTGTCTCCTTACAATTGGGGGAGTGGGGGGGAAGGGAGGGGAGACAGAAGTGACATTCGCTCGATCTCCACTGACGTAGGATCCGGCCCCTACGAACTTCAAAGGCATTCTACGAAAGTTTAAACAAACCACCTTGTGAAGACTATTGAACACGTGATAGACTCCCTAGAAAAGCTCCCTATTTCGTAAGTTTGCAAGAGTTTGAGGGTATCATCAGAGCGGCTAAACGGAATCTGCACCATTTCACAGCCTTGCGAGAGCTATCGCTCCAAGGTTAGAGACCTGAAAGCTAGCTGAAAGACCCCCCACCCCTTACCACCCATCCCGCCTCCGCTGCCCTTGACAGTTCCTTATTCTTCGTCCTAGTTCTTCCTAGTGCTTCAGTTATCGAGTTGCTCATACGCAATGCGCAGGCTATTCGCAGCCGTTGTCTTCCGGAACAGCCAGTCCAACTCGTCGGCATGGTCGCACTTTGACGTTTTGACTTGTGTGGCCACCTCCGCAATCAAATAACACCACTGCTATCTTTTTTGTGGACGTAAGAAATGCGTGCCGCAATCTTAAAAAAAAATTGATCAACGGCGAAGACTTCATCCTTTTTTATCCTTTAACAGATAGCATTTAGTACAGGAACATGCGAAAAAACGGCTGGTGATCCGGGGGTTTACTGAAGTTGCAGGCCTACGATAAGCAAAACATTCACCGAGAAGCTCGTCCACGAGGCTGTATGAACGCGTCACGGAAGGAATTTTTGCTTGGCAGTAGTCTCAAGGTTTTTTTTGTTTCCTCTCTCCTTTTAGAAGCCACTCATCCGCTACCCGGTTCATAATGGCACAGCCAGCTACCGCGTAACACATGATCTGGGGAACCACATCACAGGAAAATAAGATGCTACTGGCGCTCAGCCCGAGAAAAGGAGAGCAGGCGATACGGCTGCTTACAAATCGTACGCGATGAGAGATTTTTGAATCGTTGAACTGGCATCCCAACAAGCCTGACGTAGATAAGTCAACCACTGGGGATAACACGCATGATTCTAAACGCTGGAAATCGTGTAAGAAATAAGCAGATCTCATGAAAATTACCGGCGTTGCCTTTGTGGAGTAGAGGTGCCGATTTCCAGGTAAGGGAGCAAGTGCGGTGAAATAACTGCAACAATACTCATAAGAATAACTTTCTCAATGATCATAGTAGGAAACTGCCCACATGGTGTCTGTTGAACTATCGTAACGTTCCAATGCTGCTACATCGTAATTGCCGACGGATAAAAACGACGACTTAGCCATTTTTAGGTTGTCTTGTGAATCGTGCTGAAACAACGCGATAGAACTGAAATAAATAATCTGGAAGGTGGAGTTCACCTGGATAAGAAGTTTGGCAATGTGCTGGTAACTGTTCCCATCAGCTCTAGTCCTGGGTAGGAGAATGAAAATCGAATCTAGACGGTTGCTCAAAAGTGAAGAAAAGTCCGCTGGCTCGGCCCAAGTTTTTTCAGGATACCGATGCTCAAATACCTGGAAGATTGTTAATGACTATTACGTAAAGAATGATCCCTCAACTTCATAGTTTGAATGAAATCAAAGCCTAATTCTTTTTAAAATTTAACTATAGTGTATTCGCTGCGGACGGTTGGGCGTGTCAGTGCGGCTCCGTTTGGCGCGGTGCCAAACTCGTTCTCTACCAGTTGCTGAAGCGGGCAAGTGACAATACTGTATCATATCCTTCGTATTACTCATTCT